AGGAGCGCCCAACTCACATCTGTGATGGCCTTCTTGGCCTTCTCCTCAGCATTGCGGGCTTCCTGGATGGTATCCTCCATTTCACTCTGGATCTGGGCAATGTCTGTTTCCAGCTTCTTCTTGGTGTTGATCAGGCTTGTGTTCTGTTGAACAATAAAATTATGTGCAGTTATTTTCAAAAGACAACAATTACTTAACAAATTTACTGTTTCAATGTAAAGTTATCCTCTAAATATCTGACATTAGATGTATATCTGATAAATATCTGATATCTTCCTTATGTATCTTGTCAGGTCATACACAGCTAGATAGCAGAGGATTATTGATATTTGAAGCAACTCTTCTGACTGCACATTCACTCCTACTCATTTTGCCATTGCCATAATCCATTTCTTTGTACGAGTGTAATAATTCTACTTCAGATAAAGTACTTTTTTACAGGAGTTGATTTAGGAATTTACACAGAAGAAAAACTATAAAGGAAGAAAATTGCCCATGAGATTTTGAATCTAACCTGGGTGTGGAGGAGCTGAACTCTCTCACTTGCATCCAGAAGCTCCTGCTCAGCCACTTTTCTTGACCGCTCCGTCTGCTCCAGGGCTGCCCGGAGCTCCTCAATTTCAGCCTGCAGCAGGTTTGCTCTGCGCTCCACCATGGCCACCTGCTCCTTCAGGTCATCCTGTGTCCTGATAGCATCATCCAAGTGTATCTGGGTGTCCTGTTGAGAATAAAGAGAAATTATAAGTCAAAGAATCAAGAGAAATTATAAGATGATGCAGCATTGTTGCACAATGGCATTTGCCACCAGTCCCATAATGATTATGGTAGTATAATATATATAATTATAGGGATATATTTATATGTGGACTTATTGTCCATCTCTGCACAGTATCTTAGATAAGTCAGTTGGAGGTTGATTCATGAGAATCTGGGACAGCTGAAGAGCAAAGTTAAGTCCCTGAATTTTATGAGACTGGACTTGAGTTTCTCAAGGAATTCCTGGATGGTAAACCCTGGAGAAAGTCCTCTCAAGAATAAAGAAGAAAAACTTAGTTAAGAATGCTTTTCCTGGCGTGCAGGAGCTCTCAATTCACATGTGTAAGCAATCAGGAAAGAGAGGGAGATCAGCATGGCTGAGCAAGGACCTTCAGGTCAAACTGAAGTGTAAAAAGGAAACGCATTGATGGTAGAACAAGCAGCAACTGCCTTTGGAAGAATATAAGGATGCTACCAGGATGTGTGAGGATAGTATTATGAAAGCCAAGGCAGAGCTGGAGCTCAGTTCCTGTTTTGTATGGCCTCACATTGAGTACTGCATCCAGTTCTGGGCTCTTCAGTTAAGGAGAGTCATTAAGGAACTAGAATGTATCTAGAGGACTGCAGCAGCCAGTATTGAACAAAGTAAAACCCAAAGTGCACATTCTTAGTGCAACATACCTTGAGCACAGCCTGGGTGTTTCTCAGATTCTTCTGTGCCTCTGCAGCCACACGATTGGCATGGCTCAGCTGGATCTCCATTTCATTCAGGTCTCCCTCCATCTTCTTCTTCAGCCTCAGGGCTTCATTCCGGCTCCTGATCTCAGCATCCAGAGTGCTTTGCATGGACTCCACAATTCGCAGGTGGTTTCTCTTCATTTGATCAATCTCCTCATCTTTCTCGGCTATCTTCCTATCAATCTCAGCCTTCACTTGGTTGAGCTCAAGCTGCAGGCGCAGGATCTTCCCCTCCTCATGTTCCAGGGAGGCCTGAACAAGTGGGCACAAACATTGATAATATCAAAAATATTTTCAGAAATCTCAGCTGCACTCCTCAGCCAGAACAGAGGGTAACTATGTTCCAGGCCTTTTAAGGCCTATTTCCTCATTTATTTACTACAGATGCCAGTGGTTGTTTTCATGTACCTCAGCTTCCTCCAGAGCAGCCTGGATTTCAGATTTCTCCTGCTCAATCTGCTTCTTCACTTTCTCCAGCTCATGAATTGCCTTTCCTCCCTCCGCAATCTGCTCCGTGAGGTCGGAAATCTCCTCTGCAAG